TTCTAGTTTATATGAAATATTAAATTAATACGCTTTTGGAACAAAAAAAAACCCATCAGTTTTAATAACGGAATTAAATATTAACAACTTTTAATTACACAATTAATATTCTTTAATTAACGCACTGTTATGATTGATAACTTTGAGTTACTAATTATAAAAGCGCTTTTATTAAAGAGTAAAACAATAAAAAACTGATAAATTTATAGTTTAATTGGACGTTTTTCATCCAGTAAAGATGAATTTGCATTGCCTGTCAAAAGGCAGTTCAATGGGCAAAAAATCGCGTAGCAGTACATAAACGAACACCAATTTCAAACGCAAGTGAAGATGAGAAACGATTGTTTGCAAAACGAAAAGCATAACCATCAACCAATTTCAACAACGACATCATCATCTCAGCTAAAACATACGAAGTAGTTGACAATGTAATGAATCCTGAAGAATCAAAAAAAAGGAATCGATATTAAAATAGCAATTTTCTTTTTTCCAAACTGGAATATCTCTTTGTCTCGTTAAATCTTAAGTTTTTAAGGATTTGATCAAAGCATGTAATCTATCATATGCATCATCAATACCGTGCGCGAAAACGCTATCAGGTTCGCTTCTTAATAAAAAGTACGCAGAATGGTCCACTAGATTGAAAGAAATTCTCGAATCATCTGAAATTTTAACGCTTGTCAGTGATGATTGGACAAACACTGGTGGCATTAGTGAATTTTTGTATCAAGGGACTAAATTCAAAACCATATTTCTATAGTTCAATTAACACATTGGGCATAACCCTAAACGCTGCAGCTGGTGCCATCATTGAAGTAATCGAGACTCTCGGCCCACAATAGTTCAGAAGTGTTATCACTGACAACACTCTTGTAATGAAAGCTGCTTGAAAATTAATTGAAGAAAAATTTCCACAAATCTCAACGTACGACTGTGCAGCACGCGGTATGAATTTTCTTGTTAAGGACATTTTGAGTACTGCTGAAAGTTCAAAGATCATCAAAGAAGAAACCTGAGAAAGTTCATGATGTTTGTGAAAAATCATAACATTGTTAAAACGAAGTTTGAAGAAAAGAGAATTGCAGCTAATATTCTTTGCTCACTCACTATGCCTGTTTCGGCTCAATGGCTCAACTTAATTCAACAAACAACCTTTGTATAGCAAAGTATGTTTTGATTCAACTTGAGGATGAGCAAAATGCATCTTTGAAAGATATTGCTCCAAAAACAAATATGGCCGCTGTTATGACGCTAATTAAATCAAACGCTTTCTGAGTTTAGCAAAACTCGTGAAAGATATTGAAAATCCTTCTAGCACCATTAGAATACTTGAAAATGATAATGCATCAATATCTTTGATGTACTATTATTTTCATAAAATGTACAAGAAATTTGCAAATGTATTTGGAAATGGTTATGAAGCACTTTAAATTCCTTATCACCTCAATTATGGGAATTGCCTATATGCTGACACCAAAGTATGCTGCAGAAGTACTCTATTTTGGTGAGGATACGATTGATATAATCAGTTCAATTTCAGAACTAGCCTCCAAAACAAATCCAACAATTGCTAAGGCAGTTGAAAATAAAATGATTGAATTTGTTGTAGAAATGATAACACTGACAAAAAAAGAAAAGAGACAATTTTTAAAATGAGCGCGTTTAAAGTCACCTGCTTATGATTTAAAAAACATTTTCTTCTATATTTGACAATAATTAATTCCACATACCGTTCATTAGTTAAATTTGTGTGCGCATCATATGCATATTATGAGCATATTTATGCGCATGACCTTTAAATGGTATGCGCATTAGTTGTTTATGACGTAGTGCAATTTTTTCAAACTTTGCCCATGCAGGTTTCACAAAACTGTACCCGCAAACAAGTATTTATTGAAAGTGACAGGGGTGCTCCGAGGCTGGCTGGGCTCTCGGGTAAAATTTTATTTTAAGAGTTTTTTTCTTATAAAAAAGACCGTTTCTTTGATATTTTTATAATCCCTAACATACTTGGATCGGAGAAAAATCATTTTGTTCCTCTCCTTCCATGGAGCGGTCCTCCTATCCTAAAAAATATTGAAGGATATTTTCCATCTAATTTAGAGGATGTTTTTTGCAAAACTAAAAATTTTTGAAAAAAAATTGAGGATTTTAGAGTTTTTTTTTTGGTTCAATGTTTCCAGATTTGTGGGGTTTAAACTGGGATCAATAATACCATAATATATGTTAAATGACACGGATTTGCTAAAGCAATTTTTTGCAACCAAATATCTTATTAGACGGTAACCAGTTTTGCACACCAAGAATTTTTAACATAATAATACCACAAAGATATAAAAAAATAAAAAAGCGGAGTTAAGAAGAAATTTGATCAAATTTTTAACTTTTTCGAGGCTGATAGAGGATTTTGGATGAGATTTTTGAAAAAAGAGGACTTCAGTGGATTATAGAAAAGCTGTGGCCACCCTGTAATAACAAAGTGCTTTTAAATTTCTATGGGTAAATAAATTGAAACAAAAAAAATAAATTTTATGTCAAATCTGAATTTATTTTTATATCTATAATGCATTACCTTAGGCCATTAGTAATAGAAAATGTTTTAGGTAAAATACAGAGAATAAAGGTGCAAATTAAAATTTTGAAACCATTCAAGAAACACTAAGAATTAAAAGTCAAGGAAGAAAAACTTTTAATCAAAAAAGACATCTGTTTATTCTTTATCCTCAGAATCAATACTTTCATGCCATGTGTCGGCAAGCTCTTGATTGTAAGGGCAAAGAGTCGTAAAACTCAGTTTTGGATGTAAATTTTTTTAATTATTGTAGGTCTCTGTACTTTGCCATGGAGATGCAAAGTTTTGAATTAAACAGAATTTGGATAAAATCTTTTATAACATTCTTCCTGTAATTTTTAAATTTGTTTTGAACAGTAATCCATTTCATGAATCACAATGAAATATAATTCCATTTGAGTCTATTCTAAAACAAATTTCACCAAGTTTAACATTTCAAACATTGGTTTTTCTAAAATGGTCTCATAAAACCAATAATATTTTTTGTCATATCTTGCGTCAATTCTACAACATGAAACGAAGAGGATCTTTAACAAGCATTACTGAATGTTTTAATCCAATCTGATGGAATACATACAGGTATTTTGCAATAAACCCTAGATCTTTATTAAATTCCATAAGAAGTCATTTTTAATGAAGCCAAACCTTTTCTTTTCATGAATAAGAAAATTCTCTTTCTGCATCTTTGTGGTGTTGTACTTTTTGCAATTTTGATTTAAAAGGTAGTTCAATTTTTATAGCTTCGATTTTAATTTTAAATTCATCGCATTCAGAACAAGCACCAGTCCAAAAGAAATGTTAAAATTAGTGTTGAATATGTTTCCGTTAGATTCAAAAGACAATTCATCGTTTCCATATTAAGTTTTAAACAGGTCAAAAATCTTAGTAAAATTTAATTCTTCCGAAAGATAGATTTGTCTAGATTTTTTTTGAGAATAGTTGAAAATTCTTGACCTCTAGACGAAGAAACGTGATCAGATTTAATTCAAGAGTAAAGCTATTATAATAATCTTTTTGTTTTCCTCTTTGATCTTGAGATGTATATAACTATAATAATAAGGTGTATATAAATATACGAATACCTATATAAACAAAAAACTGTAATTTTTATAAGATTAATTTTATGAAAAACTATAGGAAAAAAGATTTAATGATCGTTTTTTGTGTTAAATAAAAATATATAACATGCCTGTTGTTAAAAAACTTCTTTTTATTGTCTCCAACCTTCCCTTTTTTATGCTAAAAATTGAAACATATGCAGAAAAGCAAACACAAACAAACGAATTTTTACTCGTAAAATGATTTTTAATAAAAAGTTTATATTTGTAACTATACTATAGCCTTTTAAATCAATATTTCTTTTTCTTCTTCAATTGTTTTTTTTTGCAACAATTAAGTTATTAAACTAGCAAGATAAAAATCTCGAGCATCTGGTGAGAGAACTGGTGAGAGAGCTGGTGAGAAAGCTGGTGAGAGTTTAAGTAATAGAGAGTTTAAGTTACTTAATAAAAAGTTCTTATCTTTTCTTTTAGCTATTTCAAAGCATTTCAACCTTTTACAGTTACATTCAACCCCTGTTTTATAGATCCTAGTTTTTGTTATCTTATACTTTCGCGCAACCTTTTTTTTGTTTTTTCTTTTCTTGGATTTTTTTTCATTTGTTCTAATAGTTTGTATGCCACCATTTTCATTGTTAATTTACATCAATAGAATTATCTTCAAGTACTATAAAAAACAAGAAATTTGAGCTTTCAATGTAGGTCCTGATAATACAAAGTAAATTTTTTTTATGTCTATTAGTAAGTACCAAATGTTATTTACATACTTAAAAACTTAATTTTTTGAGAAGGTAACTATTTGTATATCGAAGAAGAAAGGCCTAATTCCATCAAAGTTTAAATAAACAGAAATTCAATTATTTGATTTAAATTCAAATATAAAAGATGGTACTGTAGTAAGACTAAAATATTAAAATTTTTAAAATATGACCCTGCCATAATTATATATACATATATATATATATATATATATATATATATATATATATATATATATATATATATATATATATATATATATATATATATATATATATATATATATATATATATATATATATATATATATATATATATATATATATTAAATATGATTAGAAAATTTTCAAAATATAGTTGGAACCTAAATTAACTAAAAAATTACAACCAAAAAAAAAAAAATCAACTTGTTTTTTAAATCTTTGGACTTTTAATTAGAAAATAAAGCGCATCATTAATTCTTCTGAAACTGATTTTCATAGAATATCTAAAAATAAAATTTAGCATTATTTTAAGACTAACATGTATTCTGGTTTTAAAGACAAAAGTATAGACAATTGCTTCTCACTTTATTGAGTTCTGCATAATATAAGATATAATTTTTTTTTCAGACTTATGAGTATTCTGAACTCAATAACGCTCAAGTAGCTTCACCTATTGGACTTGTGTTTGTTTTGAATCCTATAACAAATCGTATAATTAACTGTCTTAACCCTTTATTTATATCTATTGATTTTTTTGTTGAAGATGATATTCCTGCAACCTCTGAACCTTCAACGACAACCAATTTTTATAACAATACTTCACAAAACAACGCAAGTACATTTACAGATGAATTATCAACGACAAGTGCGCAACTTCAGGTATTATTTTAAGTTTAGCCTTGTTATTTAATTAAAATAAAAAATGTTGCTAAAATATTTTAATGATTTTGAATTGTAGTGCTTTCAATTCAATATTAAAAATCTAACATGGGAAACAAATGGTTGCAATACATCAGAAATCTATGAGGATTATGTCAGATGTAAATGTTCAGGTCTATTTCTTACTGGTGTTTTTTGGATTAATAAGAATGTTGAAAATAATACCAGTTCTTTTACGGCAAAACCATATATTGAAACAACAACAGCAATAGATTCAACAACAACTACAATAGCAACAACAAGTACAACATATGCTGCAGGAAATGAAACTACATATACTACAGGAAATAAAATTACATATACTACAGGAAATACAACAACATACGCTGCAGGAAATACAACAACAACTACTTTAAACCCTACTAATGTCTATGTTAATCTTAGTTTTAGTTTTCCGAAAGCATATAATAAAAGTGATGATATTAGTGTTTGTAAAGCATGTCAAGATAAGTTGAACCTGACTAATGACAAAATTAAATCGTGTACCACTTCAAACGGAAGCACAATTGTTAATTTGGAATTAATTTTTGTCTCTAATGCTCTTAATAATGATTTGAATAACATAAAGTCATTGATTCAGAATGGAAATTTAAAGATAATAATTAATGGAGTTGAATATGTAGCTTCAAATGATTCTTTAAAATATAGTCATTTAGATGATTCTAAACCAACCCTACCATCAACTTATTCAGATGGTGAAAATAATCATTTGACTGACGCCGAAATTGCAATCACAGTTGTGTGTGTAATTGTTGGAGTTCTTGGACTTATTATTATTGGAGTTTTTTTTTATATGAATCACAAGAAGAAGGTATTTTTCTTTGTTTTTATATGTATAGTATAACAAAACATTTATTTTTACATAAACATACAGGTATTAAATATGTTTCTTAATGTATGTATATGTAAAAATAGAATATTTAACGAAACAATTAGAGCCTACTCACACTTCTTTAAGTACTTTTTGTTGCATTCTGGGATTGATTATTAAATAAATTGTTAAAAATGTGATTGTGAGAATTTTGGCGTTATAAACTTTGGTATAAAAAAAGGATGCTTAAGTCAGCAAAATAATTTCTTATTTGTAAACTTGAATTTGAATTTTACTTTGTTTCAGAAACGTTTTTTGATATCTTCGGGGTCGAAATAATTTTATCACAGGGGTCTAAATAAGTGTCGGACATCGCAGCCCCTCGGATTATGTTTTGAGACCTATTTTAAGGAGGCACCCAACCATTGCTCATTCTTACTGAAACAACGAACAATAATTCTTATCTCTCATCTAGCAGGTCTCAAGAATATTCCAAGGGGACTCGACAACCCGACTCCTATTTCAATCTCTGTTAACACAAAATTATTTCGTATTAATCTTATATTTTTGTATTAATGTATATTCTTCTATTTATTTTTATAATTTGCAATTTTCCTATTGATTTTTTGAAGTTCCATCTAATTTAACTTAAATTTGCCACAGTTTAAACAAAAAACAAAACAAAACAAAACAAAAAAAACAAAAAAAAATGTCTGTCAGAAAGCATCACTGCTTCAGTGCAAAAATAATTTATATTGTATATTTGATTATGAGGCAATATCAAAAAACTGGTTTTAATTGGAAAGGTTTAATATAAATATAAAGAAGATTTAATTCTCTCACTAATTAAAATATTCAAGTTAATAATCTTAATAATCAAGTTAATCAGAATATCAAAGAAACCTGAAAAGTTTTATTAATAGTTACAATTAGTAACAATTAGTTATACTAGCTAATAATAAAATCAACTTAATTCATTAATTGTTACTACTAGCAACAACTATTATTAGTTGTTATTATTAGGAACAGCTATTATGGGCTGTTTCTAAAATTATTGTTATTAATATATAAATATTATTGCGTAATTACTCTTGTTTCAACAATTTTTTTTTTAATTTTAAATTGAGAGTTAATGATAATTAATGGTTGATACTTAAATTTTGTAGCACAACAAACGACCAGTTTCACCAAGTGATAGTACAAGTCCGATAGATCCAGAAGAAAAGCGTCACAAACACTCATCGAGTAAATATTTTTTTTTATATTTTAAACAAATATTATAAGCAATTATCACAAATAACTTAAAAATAGCAAAACATTCATTAATGCACAATAACTGAACGCAACATTATGTTTTAGGTTTAATAACAAGAAACTATAAATAAAAAATCTTTTTTTAATTTCAAAAATTATTAGACCTACAATCATCTAAAATTGATGGGGTTCAAACTTTATATGGTCATAATTTTTAAACGCAGAAATATTTTACTATAAAATTCAAAATTTATCAATGAATATAAATCTAGTTGAGAATATTAAAAGTATTTTATCAACTTGTTGCTTTCACTTTTGAGGCAAGAAGCCAAAATGTGGGGCAAAGTTTTGGGGTCCTACTTCCCTCCCCTGATAAGTATATATAAATAATATAATAATTAAGGGAAGCTGTTGTATCTAGGACAGTTTTTTAGATATGTATTTTTCATTGTGATTTGACATACACAAATCATAATTGCATATTTTGAATAGTCAATTATTATGTTACTCACCATTAAAATATCAGAAATGTATATTTCATACTTAGTACATAGATTTTAAGGTTAAAAAAAAGATAATTAAGGCCAAGGTATAACATACCCTATGTGCCTGTGTCAGTACTACGGTGTACTTAGGACACATTGAGAACTTGGAGGTAAGTAAGTTAATAACTTTTCTTCACCAAAAATGTTTTATTCGGTCTATTACATAATTTAACAAAATGCCTTAGAAATTTTGAACAAATTCAAAATAATATTAAATTCTTTTTTTGCTTTTTAAACAAAATCTTTAAACGAAAACAACGGTAATATATATGTATATATATATATATATATATATATATATATATATATAATATATATATATATATATATATATATATATATATATATATATATATATATATATATATATATATATATATATATATATATATTGCTTTATGTTTTTCTCATGTATTTATTTCTAATTAAAAAAGATGGTTGTTTTACTCGCAAGTTTTAACGCAATTCGGATAAATACAACCTCAACAACCATGGCAACAAAACTTTGGCAACAGACGAGTAGTTTAATTAAAATATTGTAAACATAACTTCCTAACCCAAAAAATATATATAGAGCAAATAATTTAGGCAAAAAATCAATAATTTCCAAATAACTCTTCACTTTCCAAATAACCCCGATTTACGGTATAGAACTTTCTCCGTAAAATTTACGGTTTCCGTATTTTGTTTTTTCCGTACAAAATAACGGATAATGTCAGGTAGCTACTTTCCCCGTAAAATTTACGGTTTCGGTATTGCATTTTTTCTAATCGAATTAACGGAAAAACTCCGTTAGTTCAGTTACTTGACTCATTTTACAGAGTTAACGCGAAAATCAAAAATAATTGAATAGAATTTATATGTTGATTTAAAAATGTAATTCGACTATTTAAAAACTACTCAATTTTTATTTTAAAAGAACTCGACAAACAATTAACATTTTATTATGACAAACCATACTATATTATAAAAGTTATTACATATATTATATTATAATAGTTAATATAAACATAAACAAAACGACTTGTGATCTATTGATGTCTGTTCACTCGAACAGCGCTAGTTCGTTTACAAAATTAAAAACTTTTGGGTGAGGTCCGACATTTTTTACCATTTTTTTTTTCGATTTAATTTTCTTTTTCAGGATTAATTTTCGCGATATATCTAAATAATAATTAGATCATATTAATAAATCATTATTTACAGTAAAAAAAAAATTAATGTTGAAAAATTGAATGTAGAGCGAGCATGTCGAGCATGCAATTGCAGATAATCAGGATGTAGTGATATAGAAGAAAGTGTAGGTTACAAGTCGATAAATTTAAAGAATATATTGCAGGTAATATGAAAAAGCTATAGATTTTTATAGATTTTTTATAAACAAGTATGAAAGTATATCATCACAGATGACCCTTATCATTATACTTTCGTGTTTTTCACGGCAAAAGAGGAGTATTTTTGTGGAGTAAATCTATGATTTCAGCTGGTTGCATTTCCAGGGAACTTTGAAAACATCTATCCAATTGTCCAGGATACGGCTGGAAGATTCAGATATAGATACATTTAAAATTCAAGATTGAGTTGAAACCGAAACCTAGGCATGAACCTGTGAAAAACTTTCAATAGAAGTATTTTATTTTAAAAGTTACAACCAAAATTAATCAATATATATAAATATAAATAAATAATTATATAATAATAAACAATTACTAAGATCAAAATTTCTATTCTACAGACAATTTTGTCAAAAACCACAATTTTAAATGATTTAAATATAGATCGCATTACTAGAATAATAATAAAGAAAGCTTTTTTAGACTGCACTTCAAAAAAGTAAATATAAAAATACATCTAACAAACTACTTTATTTAATATATAACTTTTTTCCATGCGTTTATCCTCCATGTGGTTTATCCTTCAAATATTTGCCATGTAGAGGCTACATACCTAGGCCCACGAAGACGAGTTCAGCTAATAAACCCTTTGCAGATCAAGGTTAAGTGGTTTTTAGAAGAATGAAGGATATTAGAGAGAAAGTTAGATGAAGTGAATTAGAAATTAGGCATAGAGACAGCAGAAAGTATTGCTCTAGGTGTTAGAATGTGCAACTTATGTTCAATATCAGGTTTACTTGATAAGAACCCTTGTTATGCATAAAGTTTTACATAATTTACGTAAATTTTACATAATTTACGTAAATTTTACATAATTACGTAAGTTTTACATAATTTACGTAAATATATATATATATAAAATTTTTTTATCCATTTATTTAACTAAAATATTGAAAAAAATTACAGATTTATGAATAATTGACAAAATAAGGTTATGGCTTATGGCTCGGTTTTATTTTAACGCTGCGTTTATTTTTATTAACCTTTTCTAAATGTAAAAGAGAGGATGATGTTGAGTCATTTTTGAGAAAAATGATTATTCAAGATAAAATCAAGTACAAATGGCATTATATGTAAATATGCCTTTGATCAAAATTTTGATGCAAATTGTCGAGGCCACATAAGGAGCCCCATGTTGCTTAGGAGGCCGTGCTCTTTTTATTAATGAGCCAAGTTCCAAGTTCCGTGCTCTTTTTATTAAAGAGCCAAGTCATGTCAAAAGTAACCCAAAATATTAAACGTAAAAAACCATCCCCACCACCTAACTATTTTAGTTAGATGGTTCACATGCCTGGCTTGGGGTATACATACGCAGCGATTCCCCTATTTGTCGTGAAATTAGGTTCGAATCCTTTGACAATTTTTTCATGTACTTCCGCTTGGTACCTCCACTTTTTCACCTTTCACTTTATTTTTTATTGTTCTCCTGCTTTCTAAGGCTGCACTATTTTAGATGTAATTTCTCATAAAATTGACTATGCCCTATTTTTTTATTCCTCTGCAAACATGTTGTTATTAGTGGCTTGAATATTTATCGCTTTAAAGGCTAGACTCTAACGCTACTGACCCTGCTGGCACTAAAGCTTACAACTTCTGCATTTCTTAATCTCTTACTCAGATAGTTAACTTTGTGACTCGTTTTCCTAACAACCCAAATCATTAAACTTCACTCCTTGATTTATGTATAGTCTCTGATCCAAGCTTGTGTTAATTTTTTCCTTTTTCTTCTTTAGGTGGTTCATGCAATGCAATGATTGCTTTGAATATTTCATCTAGTACTTCCTATTCAGACTAACCCTATCATCACACTATATACTACTAACCTAAAGCTGATTGAAATTCTTTTCGTGATTTTTTTTGTGACAGTTCTTGGGCTGATGTCTTTTCTCTCTCAGCTGATAAATGCGCCTCCTACATACCCTCCTTTGTTCAGACAGGAGCGGAAACTTTTATCTCTTCTCAACGGTTCCAAGGAAAACTTCATTCTACTTCATGGTTTCTACTTTCTTATACAGCTGCTATATCTAATTGTAATCATCGTTTTCATCTTTATCAAAAGAGCAACTCCCTTGAGAACATACTGCTATTTATTATTAAAAGGTGCTGTCTGATGTTAAGCTCCATTATTTTTGGTTTACTAAATCTTGCATCTTATCTCAGAAGATAGGCTTTAGAAATGTTTGGAAAATCTTCAACCGCGTCATTAACACGGGTAGGTCTAACATTCTTTCTCTCATTCCAGGGACTAACCTTATTAACTTTCTTAAGGTTAAGAGAGAATTGTTTGCAAAGAACCGTTTTTAAAAATCGTCTTTAAATCTTATGGCCATTTTCTTTGATCCATTGTAGTTAAATAGGTTGAACCATAGTTAGACATTCAAATAACTCATTGTTTGAAAACCATATCCAGCTTCCTTTGCTAAATTCATATCTCAATTAAACTCTTCTACGACATATGGTTCAGACAAAATTCAGGTAACAGTCTTAAAAATTGTTCTCCAGAATTCTCTTCAGTTTTCTCTAACCTGTTTCATAAGTGCTTTACTGAGTCTTATTTTCGCGATTGCTAAAAAATGTCATTGGTTGTTCTAATTTTCAAAAACTCAGGGAAACATTCTGACCCCTCAAACTATCTTCCGATTAGTGCTTTTTCTGTTATTATAAATGTCTTGGAGTCGTTGATCTACATATTTCTAACATCACATTTTGAGTCAAATAATTTTCTATCAGACAATTAATACGGTTTTCGATCCTCTCACTCTACGGCTGACTTGGTATTATGCATTATTTGGAGGCGGTGAGGTTAGGGCTATTGCTCTTGACACATGTAAAACTTCGACAAAGTTTGGAATGCTGGTTGTCTTTATAAGCTTGTTTCATATCATGTATCTGGGAAAACTTTTGAGACTATCCAATCGTTTCTTTTTAACCGTTTTGTTAAAGTCATCCTCAAAGGCCAACACTCTTCATCATTTCTAGTAACTTCTGGGGTAACTCAAGATTCTATCTTTGGTCCTGTTTTATTTCTTATTTACATTTATCCCGACAACCTTATAACTAAAGTAGCTCTCTTTGCTGATGATTCAACTTTATACTCCTGTCTCGACAAAAAGTCTTATTTTTTGATTGTTTAGAACAGGAAGCCTATCTTTAATCTAATCTCTGTAGCAGATAAGGCCCACAGTGGCTTGTAAATTTTAACTCCTACAAAACTCAGTTACTTACTGCAATCAAATATTGTAATATGGTTGAAACTCTTATATTAATGAAGGAAAACTCTTTTACTCTATTATGTTAGTCCTATTCTTTACTTTTTCTTGGATTATTGTTTAGTACTAACCTTTCATGGAAACCATATATTCAATCGACTGCTAAATTAGCATCTGCAAATATATTATGCTCGCTATTTTCTTACTCCTGATTTCATTCTTTACCTCTACATATTTCTTATTTGAATACTGTTGCATATTTGGGCTAGTTCTTTTAATAACGTTTTTTTTGATTTGGGTGTATCTGTCCATGCATGTGCTTAAAACTTTTATTCGTCTAGTTTTTTTCCCCGCACTTTAACTATTTGGAACTCTTTCTTTGCAACATCTTCATGTTTTACTGACTTACTCAACCTACCTATATATTATTAAGTTAAACATGTCTCAGGCAATAAAAAACAATATTTAAAAAGTTTTAGAGTTGTTACTAACTCAATCTGCAGATTTATAATGTCACGAAAAATTTAAGATCTCGCATAAAAATAAATAATCATTCCTAAATGATTCAACTGTTGAGCTTGAATAAAAAGTTAAACAACTGTTTAACTTGAATAAAAATTTCAATGAACAAAATCAATGTTTATTGATTTGATCATTTTAGAAAAATGGTGGTGCAAAGTTATGACCTCTTTTCAATTTTGTTTTCAAAATTTGGTGATGTGTTGTATCTTAATTTGAATTTTTTGTTTTACTACTCTGATTTGAATGTTTCTAGGCGCGCTGTTCAATTATATTTTAAGATCTAGATTTTGAGGCTTGCCAGCCAGCCATGTGAGGCAATATTATAGCTGTGATGAAAGAAAATGGTCTGAAGGAGGCCTAACAACAGCGTGATAAAATTATGAACTTTTTTAAATCACTAAATAAGTATTGTTTTGACGCAAAACTTAATATAGTTTTCTATTATTTAAAGAAAGATCATAATAGATGCTTTGAATAATTTTTAAATACTTCCTATTTTTAAAGGTCTGGTAAATAAAAGCATTTTTGAAATTCGACTGGTTAAAGCTGAACTGGTTAATACGCCCTAAGAATAAAATTTATTAAGTCGTCTAACAATTTTGTATTGGTACTTTGCAGAAGTGCCATCACAAAATTTGCTTCATTGTGCTGCATTAAAAATATGTTCTGCTATTTTAAAACTATAAAAAATATAAATTAATTCTCATATATGAGAATTATTATAATAACAAACAATTAATAACAAATTTCTCCTCGGTACAGTCTGAAATGAGCTTTATTTACAAAGCTCATTCTGCTGCGCTGCGGAGAACTTTATTCATAAATAACAATTAGATGATTAGTTGATAACATTAGTAGGATGATTAGATGGTAACTTTAAGATGACTTGAGTTTTAAACTTAATTTATTTATCTTGAATTATCCAAAACTTAATTTATTTATCTTGAAAAATTTTGTTTTTAAGATGACAAAAAATAAGTTAATTGGTGAAAAGTCATATCAATTAATCACAGCAAGCCTTGCAGATTTAAATGTAGAAAAATATCAATGAAGGAAGTTTAAGTGCAACGTTTTGTAAATTTAAAAATGAAAAAAAATAAGAAAAAATTTAAACAATAAGTTTTACAACAACCAACTCTTACAACCAACTCTTACTAACTATGTATTGTGACCTGAGCATTTACAATTAAAATTAACAATATATGCTTGGTAGAGTTTTAAGCTCCTGATATTGAAACTGTCTATGATATAAGTAGATATTGGCATTTTTCGACGCCAGTTTTAGCCTAACAAGCAACATTGGTACGGAAGAAGGCGTGAAATTCTTGTTAAATGCTCTCCCACGGTGCTCTATGATAAAACCGCTAGGACTTGTGGGAGCACCTAAAATAACTACAAAAAAAAAAAAGTTTACAATATGAATAGGATAAGATATTGTGATGGAAAATTAAGCACTATATATTGGTAAAGTTTCCATATAAGACCTAAAGATTTCATATTACCAGTGATTTTATTTAGCTATATTTAAACATACTTTTATAGTTTTAATTTTTCAAATTGCTTGTAATTAGTACAAAACTCATTTTACATTTTAAAAAAGGTTTTAATTTGACTCGATAAAAAAAATAGTTAAAACTCCATTTGTCGAGCAAAAGGATAACATCATCATTAGTTCTGCAAATTTTCATTTATTTTATTTTTGTTTAACAAAAGATAATTTGTTTTGAAAATGCGACTAACAGTTTTTTACATTCTTTTTACGCCATTCAGGATTTTAAGGTAAAAATTTTCGATTTTTTTTATTTTGCAGTAAAACTAATTTTGAAAATTATTATAGATGCGTAATGTTTGTATAAGCAATTGAAAACGCAATACTAATGTTAGTGCCTAGTGTACCCTTCCTAAGTTTTATAAAAATTTAAGGGACGTTAAGGAAAAACAATATTACTTATAAATTTGGGGGTATAACCAATTTAACTTTCTTAAGAAAACTCATTTAGAAAAAAAGATACGTAGATTCCAGATTTTTGTTTGTATTTCTTAGTTCCTGGTACCCAAATTTTTATTTGCTACTTCTAAGCGTAATAAATTTTTGTTGTTGTTGTTGTTTAAAGCAAGTGTTTCGGAATACTTATCACCACTAACAATGTCACTAACACACACACCTACAGACACACAATATTTACCCTGATAAAAAAAAAAAAAATAATAACATGCAAATATTTATTTAGGTGAAAAGCATGGGCATCATAACCCTGCTTTTGAAGAGAAGCACCATTAACTTACACTAATCAGGAGAAGCACTATTAAACAGTCGGAGAAATGACTGCTAATGCGCATATCAGTTCGAGATATTTAATGACGTTTTTTGTATCATGTTTTTTTTGTGTGCAATTTAAGATTCTATTTCGTATTTATTAATTTTAATACCAGTTGTTATGCTTGATTTTTATTACGGTTTAAGTTATCTTAATAATTTAGAGCTAGTTTTTTTACTTATTACATTTTGTGTTGGTTTATAATATTATATTAATAAACTATTGTAAATATTGCTTGTATTGTTAATAGTATTTATATGTGCGTTAATGAACGAAAATAAGATTTAATAGTTGAATTGTAAGTATAATTTAAAATAAATAGAATCACGTTCATATCAAAATAAGTATTGGAACTTCAGACAGAACTCTTTTTGATATCATTACAACTTGTTAAATTATGTTTTTCTTGATGATGAGACATTTTGTCTTCTACTTGCTTTAGTTAGGTTTTAATTGTATATATATATATATATATATATATATATATATATATATATATATATATATATATATATATATATATATATATATATATATATATATATATATATATATATATATATATATATTTATATATACTTTAAAGTTAATTCTACTTTTTTAGTACAGCTCTTTACCAAACCTACTATTTATATACTTATCTATTCCACACCAACCATTCCTATAACTATTCCTTATTGACTTCAACATTTTTCAGTAAAATAATTCATTCTGAAAAACTGCTTTAAAAGCATAAAAGTTACCATCCGCACCTTTATTGCATACGTAAAGCTTATAAATGATTTATAATTTTATTTGCTAAACGCTAATCTAAAATTTAAAAATTGATGCGGAGTGATGTCAATTTGTGGCAAAAAAGAAAACAAAAAAACAAACTTTTATACGTCAAGTTTGCTCTTGCATCAATTTGTCATTTTTAGATTAATTTAATTAATTAATTTATTTTTATTTATTTATTTAAAACAACAGAAAGGCCGCTTATGCTACAGCAAAACAGTTAAAAAATATATATTAAGATCAACAATAGTTAAGACCAAATGGCATTAAAACTGTATTAGAATAAATAACACAATATATCTGAACAGGACGGTTTTTAAATATTGATACAAATGATGCAAATGCTACATTTTCCGGTAAACTATTCCATAAGTTGACAACGCGATTGGAAAAGTAAAACTTTGTACTGGTAAAATGTTGGTTGTAAAGTTTAAAAGCATGATGAATAAGCTGATCAAATTTTAAGTGATTATCAATCGTTGGTGCCAATAACTGTAAAAAAAGAAAACTGGTACAGATCATTTCTCGGATAAGACTTTGTATTTATTACAACATTAATAAATAGTTTTAATGAAATAAAGTAATATTTACTATATTTATTAGAATATATCACACAAATCTTTATTAGAATATATCCCACAAAAAATATGTTTTATATTTTTTTGATAAAAGAAATTTTCCTAAAAAATTTAAATAAAATCTCGTTTTTTCCACATAGTGGCGTCACAGAAGCTGCTATTTACGAAATAGCTGCGTCTGTCATTTTTAATGGAGTTGACATAGCTTTTGGAAGAAGAATTTATCAAGAGAGGATCAAAAATCAAGGTTTCTTGTTTTTTCAATTTTTTAAAATATACTAACATAAATACAACAATTAAAACGAAAACAGTTTAGGCAAAAAAGACTTTTAATTATTAGATAACTTTTTTTTATAAAAGTTATTTAATACTAAATAATAATGATAACAATTAATAAAAAAAAGACCCTATAAAAGTTAATAAAATTATATGTTTTTTAAATTCGAGAGATCAGTGGCTTAACGCGCTGCTATCCGTGCCGTTTCGCTTGGAATCAAATCAGCACCTCAACACAATATATTTTCAGTTTTTTCAATCTGGTCATACACATTTATAGAAAAAAAAAAAAAAAAAAAAAAAAAAAAATAGCAAAAATGACTTTTAATTGTTAAAATAAAATAAAAAGTTTTTTCTAACTACGGCCTTTTTTTTTCGTCTCCATAGCTGGACATTCTTACTAAATATTTTTTATATTAAGTTTCAGACCATAATTATTTTTAGACTATCGGCAGCTTATTAGGACTAATTACCTGAGCACATTAACAAAAAAATCTCAATCATATTACCATAGTTATTAGATTTAAACTGGTTTGGAAACACGAAACTTTGCGTAACAAAAACTATATTAGGTTGAAAATGCAATCACATGAATATCACAAGCACAAAATACGTTTTGCAAGGTTATGGAAGACTCCTTTTATGGAAAACAAATTATTGAGCAACTTAAAACAAAAAAGTTTTACGCTAATTATTTTGGGAATGTAGTTAATCCAGAGTATGGAAATTTTAAATTGTGGTGATGACTATGAAGATGCTGCTACATTATTATTTAGTAAACTTGCAGATAGTAAATCAGCTTATTAAAAAAACGACATATTAATTGTTAATAATAATCGAATATTAAATACACCTACAATATGTAATAAAGAAAGTTTAAATTACAATATCTTGGAGGTTATGTTATTCATAAAATTTAAATAAAAAAATAAAAATTCTTGAACTAATAATACTCAATTACCACGAACAGTGTCTATATTAAAAAACTGTCGAAATGAAAAAAATATCTAACTGACCAAAAGCATGTTAATACTCTTAATTGTGGAGGGTTGGGACTGGCATTACAATTGAGTTTGAACATATTTTCATTGTAGCGGAAAAAATATTTCTTTTATATACAGAACAGTCAAAACTTACTAAAACTATGGTTTTTTTGATGAAAAAAATACTCTGTGATAAAAATTTAGATGAATATTATAGGTCTATTATTGAAAAATGTGATTTAAAAATTGAAAAAGGTAGTTAAAAATTTACTTTAATGCTAGATTTATATTTTCAAGTTCGAAGTCATTTCTTCGCTAAGAACATTGTTAATAATCATAAAGCAAAAAAAAACAAACAAAAAAAACAAAAAAAAAAAACAATAGGAGAAAAATCAAAGAAAGGATTACGTAAAAACATGAAACAATCATATAGATTAAAAGAAAAACTTGAAATGTAATAAATGCTTTTGTTTTTTTAATTCTAAAAAGAGTTTTTATTTTACTAGAGTAAAATTAAACTTAAGATATTTGAAGTCAAAGAAAAGACTAATGTGTTATTTGCTCATTTATATTTTTTTTTTACTGTTGTATACTTTTTTTAATACAATTTACTAGTTCTCTCTCTCTCTCTCTCTATCTCTCTCTCTCTCTCTCTCTCTCTCTCTCTCTCTCTCTCCGTTGCGAATCAGGCTATAAGATAGTCGATGTAGAAACACTTAAGGGAGTGTTTCTACATCGACTATCTTATAGCCTGACTCGCAACGGAGTGCTGCTACATCGACTGACAAATAGCCTGACTCGCAACGGAGTGCTGCTACATCGACTGACAAATAGCCTGACTCGCAAGGGAGTGCTGCTACAACGACTGACAAATAGCCTGACTCGAAAGGAAGTGCTGCTACATCGACTGAGGGTTTGGTTTGGGCAGGCAGTTTATTATTTAAAAAAAAAAAATTTAAGTTTTTAAACTTTTTCTGGTCTGGTTTAATAACGCGCTTTTTAAAACTACAGTTTATGGGAAACTCTTTCTGACTACCATGCAAGAGTATATATATATATATATATATATATATATATATATATATATATATATATATATATATATATATATATATATATATATATATATATATATATATATATATATATATATATATATATATATATAACTATAGTTATAAAATCATGTGTTCTTTTTTTTTTATAAATTAAATCTTCACAGATATTTATCCTAGCTTTTTTGTTGTCATATGAGCATTATAGCCATTAGCATTATAGCCAAACTGTTTTGCATCAGTGATTTCTGAACAAAGCCCAATTTTCTTTTGAGCACTAAAATATTCCTCAATTGGATCTTGGCAAAATTTGTTGGTAAGTATGTAAGGCTCCTTTTACTAACCAAAAAATTTCTTTTAAAAAAAAAATTTTCTTTAAAAAATACACTGACTAAAAGGATCCGATAATCCTTTTGATCAGTGTATTTTTTGAGGAAAGGTTTTATTCTATGTTCTTCAATTGTTCTAGAATTAAGATAATCAAAAAATGTCCATTTTTTCACAAAACCGAGCTGTCTCTGTATGTTCTTCTGTTCGAGGTGTTTTTAAGACAGACGATACAGTCTGACTTAAAATTTGAGCAGCAAGTTTGACAGTCATAGTGGAGTAAGAATTTATTTGAATACACTCATTAGTTAGTTTAGATAAAAGTTTTAAACCATTGTCTAAATCTTCGTAATGCAGTTGAGTTATGTGCTGCCACAAATACTTCCCGTCATTCCACAAAAAGTGCGTACATTTTCCAACACCAGAATTTAATAAATGATTTCGGGAAAATTTAATTAGGTGTGGTGGGAAGCAATAAAATAGATATATCTAGAATTGGCATATTAATTTATTGTTTTAGAAATAACAGGAGTAATCATATCTCCACACATGTAACTGAGTAGTTTAATCATTATTCAATTTGATTATGAACCATCAGCTACAACAGAAACTAGATAAAGATTACATTTTTTTAAAAATGCATACTAAATCCCATAATAAACTAAATAACTGTATTGCTGTGGCAGTGATCGTAGTAAAATATGCAAGCAAAAACTTAAAAGATGTTGTAGCATTACAAATTATGAAACCAAGGGAATGACAAGCAAGTTATCGTTTTTGCAGTGTAGCAAAGTTTAGGTCTGGGTCTCCAAAATCAACAAACCAAATCAGCTGATTACTATTCTTATAAAAAACCAGACTAGATTTAAATGACATCTCATTGATAACAAGCGCAACATATCATTCGATATTTGTATAATATTTGGTTTGTCTACTTAATTCCTCAACAATGCCATCCTGAAACCCAACATTTGGTGGAATATAATTTTTGTAATCTCTGAGTGTTCTAAAGCTCGGCAACACAAGTATTTTGCTATTTCTACTTTCTTGGTATGCAAAAGGTAATAAGTACCTTATTATCATAGGGTGATACCTAACTTGAGGAGGAAACCCTAAATAACTTTTTTTATTCTTGCCAAATTAAATTTTATTAAGTATTATGATTAGTATTAGAGATAATTGAATTAGAAATCAATATGTAATTAACTGTCCACCATCGCACTTAAGCTAATAGGCTATTCTTGCATTGTTTTGATCCTAGCTTGTAGCTGTGCACATTTTAGAAGATGTTGTTGATTTTTTAATTTAGGTTTTGATGGTTATGTCAAAGAGATAAGGGCATTTAGTTTTGCAAACTCATTGTGACTCTTCAATTTTTTCTTTTTTAAATAAACAACTGATTTGTTTGTCAATATACATTTTTTCATTTGCTTGAGTCTTTAAGTAAAATATTACATGTAATATGACATACGTTGGAATGGAGATATTTCTGTATCCCAATAATGAAAATTTTTTTAAAAAGGTATATAATTGTAAATGGTACTTGATATTTTTTCATGAATTGGCCTTCACATAACTAATTACTTTCATGAATTGGCACACCTTCACATAACTAATAACTTTCAAGTAAAGTAATTAAATTTTTTAATAAAAACTTATTTTGCATACTTCTTTTGTAAATTGTATATATAGTATGACTTTTAGGACGTATATACAGACAAACGATATCCTAAACTATCATTTAAGATTATTTCAAATTCTGGAAGGACAAGCTGATTTGATCTATTTTTTGTAACACTTAATTAATTTTTTTACATTTGTTATCCAAATTGTTATATATATATATATATATATATATATATATATATATATATATATATATATATATATTTTTTTTTTTTTTTTTTTTTTTTTTTTTTTGAATGTAGACATCATGTATGAGAGTATGTAAATTATTATTTTAAAAACATCAATAAATACGATTTTCTCTCAATACTAAATTTATTTTTTATTTTTTAAAAGAAATTTTCGCTAGATTGTTGTGACCAGCGTCTTCAGCTTAAAAGATTTTTGAAACAAAAACAAACAAAATCTTTTAAGCTGATGACGCTGGTCACAACAATCCAGCGAAAATTTCTTATAAAAAATAAAAAATAAATTTAGTATTGAGAGAAAATCGTATTTATTGATGTTTATAAAATAATAATAATAATAATAATAATAATAATAATAATAATAATAATAATAATAATAATAATAAGTATATGTATATTACGTTTTGTTACATATTGTGAACGATTTGCGACATAATGTGAACGTTTTGTTTCATCCGATATCGATAGGAACGTTTTGTTACAAAATCGGAACGTTTTGTTACATGGACATGTTACAAAACGTTCCTACAGTTGAAAGTAGGAACTATTTGATACATCGATTTATAATCTCGGTTACCGTGACATACGATAGTTCACCGTGATCAATCCACCATATTTAAATTTAGAAATCGAACGCTGAAAAACGTTAAAATGCAAATCATTTAATTTTGTAAATAATTTGTTAGCCCTTATCTTAAAACTAGTATGATAGATTATAATTTTTCTTTTGTTGCTTTTTTTTATAAACTAGTGCTTATTAGTTACTGATTTCATTAATTACGCTTGTTTTACTTATATTCAAAGTATTTTTATTCAATAGATTGTTATAATCAGTAATGTTAAATATAATTTTGTCAGTTTTATTTGCAAATAATAATAATAATTGCATAAAATACTTTTAAATTTGTATTTTGAAACTAAGTGGTTTATTTTCCAATTTTTTATCAAATTTTTAATCAGGTTTTTATATTTTATGTATTTTATAGGAAAAAAAATGAGTCTCAGGAAATCATTGCGATCGAGCTCAAGTTTCATTAATCCCGATAGTGTTGCAATATATTATTGCCAAAATAAGTTAGATCCAGAGTTCTTAGTGAAAAAGTTTATAAATAGTGCTATTGGTAAGAGACTTTAATAAAACCTTTAGAGTTATTCAAGAAGATGAGTTTTTTAAAACTATACACTCATTAGAGTAAAGAATGTATTGTTGTTAAAATTAAGTTTTACTAACAAATACAAAATTATTATTTCTATATTTAAACAAGTATGTAATGGATTCTAATGCAATTTTTTAAAAAGATAAATAAACAAGTATTACAGGGTTATTCATTCTTATATGCGCGTCTATTCATTTTTATATGCACCTTTATTCATTCTTATATGCGCATTTATTCATTTTTATATGCGCCTTTATTCATTCTTATAAGCGCATTTATTCATTTTTATATGCGCCTTTATTCATTTTTATATGCGCATTTATTCATTTTTATATGCGCCTTTATTCATTCTTATATGCGCATTTATTCATTTTTATATGCGCATTTATTCATTTTTATATGTGGTTTACAAAAGCAATTGTAAAAAAGCAATTTGAACCAAAAAAAATCGTTTAATAAAATCATTGAAAAAGCAGTTTATTATTTCAAAGCAAATTTTTCTTATTTCCTGGTAAACGAGTTTAAAAATACTTAAGACGAAGACTTTTTACATTTGATAATGGTTTATTTAACTTAGTATTAGTTTTTAGTTTAATTGTATTACATTGCATTAAATTGTATTATTGTATTAAATTTCTTGATTGATTAAGTTATTTTTTAGCTAATTATTTATTTTTCTAGATTTATTATTTATTTATTTAAAATTATTAATACCAAATTTTTACCCTATGGATGGAATAGAAAATAATCGTAAAACAAGGAAAAATGTTACAAAAGAGCAAATTGAAATGCTTAAGCATTTAGTTGAAAGAAATCAATCTACAACAAGCATTTCCACTTCTCTTAATTTATCGAAGCGCGCAGTTCAAAATTTTGTCGTTAAGTTAAACAGAGGAGAATTCGACGACATGACTGCATACAAGTCGTCTTCTGATAAAAAACGAGGTGAAAGACCTATAAACGCTCAAATAAAAAATATTATCGAATTATGCGTACAAGAAAACAATCTTTGCACGCAAGAAGCAATAAAAGAAAATCCTTCTGCAGCAGGCTTCAACATGTCTCAGCCTACTATTTCAAGAAAACTCAAACGCTCGGATTTATTAAGAAAACATGTTGTGCATGTGCCAGAAGAACGAAATTCAACACGAATTATTAATGCACGTTATGCATTTGCAAGCAAAATTAACGGAATTTCAAATGAAAAACTTATTTATTTGGATGAAACTGGATTTAATGTGCACACTAGCAGCACACATGGTTATTCGCTAAGAGGTGCGCCAGCAATTTTACAGTCGCCTGCAAATCGTGGCAAGAATGTTAGTTTAATTTGTGCTGTTTCAACAATGGGAGTGCTTGCTTATGAAACAAAAACTGGAGGCTGGAATGCAGATTCATTTTGTACTTTCTTAACTACAATGATGGCATCAGCGATTAGGAATGCAAATGTGGAAGCCCCGGTGCTTGTTATGGACAATTGTAAATTCCACTGGAGTCTTTTTGTTAGGCAAATACTAGCCTCTCATGGTATAGCTATTAAGTATCTGCCAGCTTACACGCCACAGCTTAATCCAATAGAAGAATTTTTTTTCTTCTTTAAAACATACTTACAAGCAGGGAGAAAAGCCTCGAAATACGGATGAGGTAATCAGGAAACTTAAAAATATTATGGATACTACAGAGTTTAATATAGTTCCATTTTACAACCGTATGCGTAGTTATATAAATCAAGCGCTGGCTCGGCAACCATTTCTTAAATAAATAACAATGAAAACAACCTAATTTATATTTTAAATATGTCTATATAAAAATTTAAAAGCGTATTTATCGTTTATATTAAATTATATTTTAGAGATTTTATGGGTGGTTGACGCATATACAAACATAGGGATGTATAATTTGATATTAATAATAATTATAAATAAGTAAATTTAAATAGAGATAAATGAATAATTAGGTAAATAATAACTTAATCAATCAAGAAATTTAATAATAAAATTACAAAGAACTAATACTAAATTAAATAAACCATCGTCGAATTTAAAAGGTCTTCGTTTTAAGTATTTTTAACCTCGTTTACCTGGAAATAAGAAAAGTTTGTTTTGAAAAAATAAACTATTTTTTCAAAACAAATTGCTTAAATGATTTTTTGTTCAAATTGCTTTTTTACAATTGCTTTTGTAAAACGCATAAAAGAATGAATAAAAGCGCATATAAAAATGAATAAAGGCGCATATAAAAATGAATAAATGCGCATATAAAAATGAATAAAGACGCATATAAAATTGAATAAATGCGCATATAAGAATGAATAAAGGCGCATATAAAAATGAATAAATGCGCATATAAGAATGAATAAAAGCGCATATAAAAATGAATAGACGCGCATATAAGAATGAATAACCCTGTAAATAAAAACTATATCAAGAAACTTTTAGAAAACTTTTTAGAACTTTTAAAACTTCTAAACTTTAGATAAACTTTAGACTTTAATAAGACATTTATTAGTAAATTTTTTTTAATTTTTAATTTTAAAGCATTTTTTAATTAAAAACAATATTTTCTTTTGTAATTTGTACAACTAACTGCTTATAATTTTTGCAGTACAAGTACAAAGAGCTGCAAAAACAAGGAAATACACATCACTAATCATAAATACATCATACTACAAAGAAATGCACATCTTAAATTAGGAAAATACAATTAGAGGAAAGAATTTAAACAGCTTAAGTAATCTGGGAAAACAACAGTGTTTAAAAAAATTTTATGAGCTCATTTACTTTGTAAAAATATGATTTAACTAAATTAGAATATTTGACGTATCAAGAGCTAGGATTTAATAGCTCACAGTGACAAACCCCAAGTTTATTTGGGGATACCCCTTTTTTTTCTGCAATGTCTGTAGAGGGGGGGGGGGGGGGGGAGAAAGGAGTGTTTTAGAGATTCCCTCCTCTCCTACTCCCTTAATTAAAACAGGTCATTTTAATTTGTGTTTATCTTGTTTAGTTTTATCTGAAGATTAAGAGTTGATTTAAAGCATTTCTTTAAATACATGAATTTACCAGTGGATGTAACTTTTTACCATGTTACTTTCGTTACAATAAGAAAACTATGTTACTTAAGAGTTTAAAAAATGTTTTTGTTACAATTACCACGCTATTTGTAAATAATTGCTGAAAAGTATTTTTAACATTAGTTAACTATATTTTAGTAAATTTAGTTTTAGTAGTTAATAATGATTTAAGTAATTAGTAATTAAATGTTTAAATACTTAAAGCAATTTTTAATCAATATTTAGATTGCATAATTTTTTTACATAAATTGAATCGCATAGTATTTTAAAAAATTAACAAAATAGTTTTACATCTTGTATTCGAATATAAAACATCCAGATTTAATAAACATATTTACTGTTATTTTAATTTTAAAATCTTGATTTAAATAATAGCAAATCTGTTCATTTAACTTTTACTAAAGGTTAATAATTTTTATAGTGATTTTAAGGCGCCTATTAAATTGAACATAATTATAAAAGAGATATTTACGGTAAACGTAGTTTTAAAAATGTTATATTTTTTTGATTAAAAACCATATTATGTTTAAAAAATATACTTAATAATATATATAAAATTATGTTTAATAAATAAGTTACATTTACTTAGGATTTATTTAAACATTAAAAACGTTGAATTTTAAAAATAAATAGATTTTAATAAAACTTTTGTTAAGTTATTGTAATCATTATTTTTATTATTATTTAAGTCAAAAAGAATATGGAAAAGAAACAAAACTTTCTGAAATAGTTTATGTTTCGTTTTTTCTTTTTCCTCAAGTAAACTAAAATAGCAAGCTAAAGATTAAAAGTTCATTCATTCCAAAATTAAATTTGTGTGATAGTTGTTAAAACAGAAATTTACTTTTGTTTATTCATTATCAAAAGCACTTCACTCTTAGGGCCTGATTATATGAGGAAATATGTCCTTCTTTGCTGAGATGAAAACTTCCAGTTTTTAAAAAACTCTAATCGATTAAATGTAAAAAAAGTCTCAATAAAATTTCCAGAAAGTTAAAAAAAAAAGGCAGAAAAATTGTCGAGGCTTGGAGGTTTATAGGCTTATATGTTAAAAAAGATGTTAAAAATACAATGGTAGACTATAATTAATAGTCTACTAACAGTTTAACTAGTATTCTTATTTTGTTGATTAAAAGTAATTTTGTGGTAATTAAGTAAATTGGTGTAGTTCATAAAAAGCTTCAGTCAATAAATATGAAAAGCAAATTTAATTTAATGACAATGGTAGACTATAGTTAATAGTCTGCTAACAGTTTAACTAGTGTTCTTATTAATTTAAAAAAATAATGAATTTTTATTTTGTTTTTATAAAACAAACGTTTTTTTTGTTTTGTTTTGATATAAAAACAAAGCATAAACAAACATCTTTTTTGTTTTGTTTTATTAAAAAAAACTTTCTATTTGATCAAAAATTTACTAATTTGTATTTTTGAAACAATTTCTTAACGAAAAAGTAGTTGCTTCTTGAAAAGAATTATTTATACTATTGTTTTTATGCAGTTATAATTGAATTGTTATCAATATTGACAACTTTATAGAAAAAATTTGTCTCGCTTAGGCAAGATAATGCAATTACATGATAAAAAATGTCCCGTTTAAACGAGTTTCCCTGTTAAAGCGGGACTCTTGGAAGAAAAAATAAAGTGGCTAAAATAAAGTGAAAGTTATTTATATACTATTGCATTTAAAACCAATTTTTTTTTTATAACTAATAAAAAGCAAAAGAAAAATTAAAAGAAAAAATAATTTATGGGAGCTTTTTTTTGGGCGCCCATACCGCTCCAGCAGTACTAAAACAGGTCTGGGTTCGTCCCTGGCTCAGTTGGTTAGTGCGATTTTATTTCAATTTCCTAAAATCTCCTAAAATTTAGATTTTTTTTTAAGTTTCCTGATAAAATCTCCTTAAAAACCTTGCAAATTTTCCTCCCAAGTTTTTTTTAGAAACATACAGTGCCACCTTGGGTGAGTTTAGATAAAATTTTAAACCTCGTTAAATTTCATTTTTAGGTTTTGGTGTCTTTGTGACAAAAGACATATCTTCTGGAGAATTTTTATGCGAATATGATGGCATTTTATCCGATAAAGAGCCAAATAATAGTCAAACTAACAACTATTTATTTTCAAATATTGCTCATTGCGGAAAAAAGTTTTAGTAAGTAAAGCAAATACAACATAAATACTTTTGTTATTTTACTTTATTTGATTAACAGCTATAGCTTTACCTTATATTTATTAACTTAGTTTTAATCAAATACAATACAAAAGATACAAGTAATGCAAATATATATATATATATATATATATATATATATATATATATATATATATATATATATATATATATATATATATATATATATATATATATATATATATATATATATATATAAAGAGAGAGAGAGAGAGAGAGAGAGAGAGAGAGAGAGAGAGAGAGTCAGGCCTTGGGATAAAGCGTCGGGTGATTTTAGGTTGTCCAAGGGCGTTTTTATGTGTCGCTAGGGCTATTTACGTCAAGCAAAAACTTTTTTGTTTGAGTATATTTAAATATATTATTAAGTGGAATTTTGATGAAGTTATTTACGATTATTAACATTCAATAAAGTAATTGATGTTTTAAAAACTGCACACAGTTGTTATAAAAGTTGGAATTACAAAAAAATTGAATATGCTCATTATTTACAAGTAGAAAAAAGTCAGATTAAAAAAAAAGTTTAAATTTTTTTATGCTAGCATTAAATAAAACCATTTAACAATAGCAAAATTGTTGATTAAATTGGACGAAAATACTTTCTTTTAGATTTTTAACTTAAATAAATATTTTAAGTGGGTTTGTTAGACTTTAAAATTATTCCATAGATTTTAAAATATTTATTAACTAATGTTAGATGTATTTAAGGTATTAACGAGTCATTTCGAAGAAACATTTTAAATATTGGTAAGAGCAAATAAAAAAATAAAAGGATACATTGAAAGCTTATATGAATAAATAATATTAAAACATATTTTACTTAATTCAATTTAAAAAATACAGTAATTTAAACTCAAAAAAAATTACTTGAAAACAATAACAATCGCTTTTTTATTACAAGTTACGAAAATCAACAAAGCACGCTCAAGAACAACTATCAAAAAATAGAACGTCAATAGCTTGATGAGTTTATAATCTGGTTTTGTTACCCGGTATCTACTGATGAAAGGTGAATTTCCACAAACATCCTCAATAATCGCAAAAAAATTATGTAATCATATGCCATTTTATAAAACATAAAAGTAAATTTAAAATAAAATAATAGTATAAAAGTTTATATAGAAAATAAAATTAACGCTCGTATTTAACCACGTAATGTTTTTTTTATTATTATTTTAGTACACTTAAATATTAAATAGCAAATTATATATTGTTCAATAAGCAAATTTTATTTTTCTTGCTGAAATATCACTTGTATACCTATAAGATTTTTATTCTAACATTTTATTTTGTTTTACTAAAAATGTAATTCCTTGTAAACATTAATCTGTTCAAAGCGTTCGTTAAAGTTGTTTTAGTAATACTGACTTTTTAAAAAGAAAAACTAATTGTAATTTGAAAAACTTTAAATTACATATTTGAGAAAGGAAAAAAAAAAATCAAATATTAGCATATTTTATAATCTTTTTTAAATGTTTAGTTATAATGTTTAGTATAGACAAAACATGATTGCATCAAGAAAATAAACAAATGTTTTTATACTTTAAAAAACGAGAAGCAAAAGAAACATTCCAAAACATTTTTAAATAATAACATTTCTACATTGTTGATTAAAAATAATTTTGTGGTAATTAAGTAAATTGGTGTAGTTCATAAAAAGCTTCAGTCAATAAATATGAAAAGCAAATTTAATGACGTCAAAAATCAGGTCGTGCTTATGCAGTTTTTATTCATTGCAAGACCTGTACATTTAACTCATACCCTGGATCAGTCGAACTTTTACTAAGTCAGATGGATTTTCAACTCCCCTTGAACTCTCTTTACTATAAAATCAGTTTACTATAAAATCATCCGCTTAAGTCATACCCTGGTTAAGTTGGACCATTACTAACTTGTACTATTTTTTGGAATTCCTTTGGCAAAAAAACTTTGCTTAACTAGGACTTTTATTTTGAATTGCATATAAGTGTGCATGATAACAGAGCTTCCAATTATTTAATAAAAGTTCCAAACTTTGCACTCTCGAAAATAAAATACAATTGCGTCAAATATATAATTAAACATAACTAAACATTTTCACTGATATTTTCGATTCGGTTAAGATTTGATTAAATTTTATTTATTAAAAATCAAAAGTTTCTAAAGGAAAGCTAACAAGTAGAAGATTGGAAGAGTAGCCTTATTAAAAGAGTAGCTTTATTAGAAGAGTAGCCTTATTTGAATAGTAGTCTTATTAGAAGAGTAGCTTTGAATGCTTCAAAGCTGTTTGAAAAAGAATTGTTTGAGTCACTGAAACAAACATCTGTTTCGGACTTTTATTGCTTATATCTTTTTATATATTTTTGGTTATATCTTTGACTAATAACATCGCTGAAACATTTTTTGAAATTATATTTAAAACAAAACTCATAAGTATTTAAAAAAAACTTGTTAAAAAATTTTTTACTTTCTATAGACAACTCTTTGTGAAAAGCTAAACTAAACGATTTAGACCTTCTCTACCATTTTGCTTTGCAACTTTTTATTACCATTCTCTTAAAAAAGTTTGTCGCATGTAATGTTTCAGTATTATTAAATTGGAGTTCATTTCTGAAATTTAGCCAGTTAAGTGAATTCAACTAAATTTCCCACAGGCCAAACTCACTTGAAAACCTTTGGTTGGGCAATAATAAGTAAGCTTAATAAATCCTTTGGTTAAATAAAAGGCACATAGAGATATGTGGTCTTTCCAGCTATTATAGCAAGAACACTGAATTTCTGCAATTGGTTTTTGAAGAAACTAAAGATAAGAATGAAAAAACTAAAGGACAGGTGCTTTACAACACTTAAAAGTTGTATCATCAAACATTGTGTTAAACTCAGTATTCAGATGGTTTAGCAGGGGAACAGTGATAACCAATTTAATAATTTGAAATGCAATTTTTAGACTTGTTCAAAGTATATTTAAAGGTGTTCATTAACAATACTTCTAAGTATAAAGATAAAATCTTTTAATACTTGTGTAAGATTCAAACTATAAAAAATATTATTACTTGCTTGCGTGTTATTACACAGTGCAACAAATAAATCAAAGTTTGTTATTAACTTCAGCAGAGGTTGCACGATTAAATGTTACATTGGTATTTAAAGACACTCTTTGATACAGAAAACTACATAAATAAAAAAACTTTTGTAAAGCATCTTTGCCATGATTTCACAATTCATAACATCCAAAGAAAAATCAGTAATAGATTTTATTAAGACACTAAATAAATAAGTTTTTCCTTTAAGTCTATATTGAGTAAAATAGGGCAGAAAAATCAATTAAAATTTTTTCATAACCTAAGTAACAATGCTCTTTGAAAAGAATAGAGACAATAATTCTCATTATTCTCATAAAGGGTAAATAATTTGGTTAAATAGTAATTTATACTTGATAACTCTAAAATCTGGATATAAAATTTTTTGCCACAAATGCTTGATCAACAAAGAAAACTAAGAAAGAAAGACTAAATTTTATCGATGCAATTATATACAGCTTCTTCTTGTATAACTTTGTCTTCCTTTTTTATATCCTAAGGATATCGTGATAACAAAAATTCCACACAATTATTATAATATTTATTTGCCCAAATTTAAAGGAAATGATGTTTTTCTCCAACGGACTAATTTTTTCTTTGAAATGCCATATAAACTTGCAAATTAGGCAACATTTTGAACTGACAACGGCCATATTTATGTTCCATGAAATTCCATAATTTAAAAAAATTGACAAAAGTACAAATAAAGCAGGGTGTATGTTGGAAGGGCAGTCCGAATTTTATTTTCTACATTTCAAACTTTCTCTCTGCTTATTTATTATTTAAAATGCAAGTTATTAAAATGATATGTAGTCTAATGTAATAAAACTAGGGATGTCTATTGATATATTTTAATGTATACTCATTGTTACTAACTAATTTTGCCTCCTGATTAAAGTTAAACAATAAAACCTCATAAAAATTTTACTCAGGGTGTATGTTTGAAGGGAAGTCCGAAATCTGTTTTGACTAAAAAAGGCATTTTGATTTTTTTTTAACAAAATAAAATAAGGTATGTCAATTCAAATTTTTAATTAAGTTATACAACTCAAAAGTTAGTTCAACCTCTGTCAAAATAAAGTAATCGTTTTTTAAATTATCGCAAAACTTTGAAACCGAAATATTATTATGTTTTCCGATTTTTAATTTTTTTTCAACCGCTTCAGATAATAACTGTGCATAATTTTTTTAGTTTTGCTGTAGTTTGGTTTTAATAGTTATAGTAAAAATTTTTTTTTCAACAATATAATCAAGTTGAAAAACTTTTATTTAACTTTTTTGGGTTTTCCAATGACGTAGCAGACATCCCCTAGACACGCCCCTGATATATATATATATATATACATATATATATATATATATATATATATATATATATATATATATATATATATATATATATATATATATATATATACATATATATATATATATATATATATATATATATATATATATATATATATATATATATATATATATATATATATATATATATATATATATATATATATATATATATATATATATATATATATACATATTTAAATCACTTATCGTTTTTAGTTTTTTTGCACAATTTTTTGTAAATGAAAACTCAGTTTTAATGAGTCTTTATTAACAAAACATTGTATATAAAAACTGAAGTTGATAAGTGATTTCTACTAATTTATTGCTCTATTCTTTTAAGAACATTGAGCACTATTTTATAGAATACATTTATAATTGTTGTTGACAGTTTTAATGCAGTCACTCGTAAAAGTTTCTATATGGTCCCACAACATTACCTGAATATTGGCAGATTTTTAAAGTTATATTTAGGGGTTCCCCAATGATCATGAAAGTTTTGAAAATTAGGTAAAACTGCATTGGTGTCTCTGGAGTTTAAAATGTTTATTATGTATTATTTCATGCAATATGGATTCATTAATCTGATATTTGTAGAACTAAAAAGCTGATAATTAGTAGAATATAGAATAATATTCTTGAAATGTATAATTCTTAACAAATTTAGTTTGTGTGAACTGAGATGGAAAACTCGAAAAAAAAAACTATTTTGAAAAAACAATTTTCTTTTAACTTTGCTTGCAAGCGCAAGTCCAATTGCTAAACATTGACGCACTGTGACAGTCATATAACATTTTAGGTGACTCTAATAGTCACAATGTTATACGATAAACATTTAACAATGATACATAATTAGTTGTAATTACATATTTGTCAGCCTTGTCTATTTCTACAGTTTACACTAAACACTCTTTATTTCTACATGTCCAGAAGATCATCATGATTGCATTTTGAAAAGTCTCTAAGCTTTTCATTGATAGTGTTTTTGTTCTTCATCTTTTGTTATTGTTGCATTAAAATTCTAGAGAAGTGCAATACCATATTCAGCACAGTCATTGGCAAAGGCTAATTTTTGACAGGTTCAAATTCATTCTTGTAGAATTGGTTTTCTGACTATTCTTCAAAGGAATATTGAGAAAACTATCATCGATGGCAGTAGTTCTGAAAAAGCTTCAAGATACTGATAATTCAGACGTTGTACAAGGTAGACTCTAAAGAGAATTAATCAAATACGATCTTTGATCATCTTTTATTTTTGACACAAGCAGTGCTTTCTCTTTACAAGATACATTCTGAGAAAACAGAGCAAGAGTTGCTAGCTTTTGACTCAAATACTATGAATGTTGCACCATCATTTTCAGACCTGTTTTCTGCAAGGCAACATTGTAGTTGTATAACTGTTGAACAAGGAAAATGTCATTGAATGGTGCATTAGCTGCTGTTCGGCATGACATTCAAGATTGGAGATATACATTTACTACTAATCTATTGAATCTCTGAATTCCCTGTAATTCACAAGCCGTTAGTTTTAGTACAGTTTCATTGCCATAAAGAAGCAACTTGGTCGTTTAGTTAGCCTTTGCCATACATCATGCTCTGTGAAGAGCACTATGTTTTTGTAGAGCTGCAGAACTGTTCAAATTCAATCGAATTATCAATGCTGCAAGTTAAAGAAATTCTAGATAATCATCTCGTGTCTGAAAAAGTTGAAGCTCAGCAATGAACTTCTTTAATTTGTCACTTGCAGAGATCAAAGGTGTTGATTGAGGATTTGGTTGATGGTATACCAAGGTTTGAACCTCTTAAAAATCAAAATTCAGGCCCAGTTGATGGGCAGAGACACTTCAAATGAACCTCAAGTATGTGATGATGACATGCCATCCGCAGCAAGTCATGACCGATTGCTGCTTCCAGAAATGTGCAGGCTCCATTAATCTGCTTATGTTAAAGTACATGCCTTTAACTAGCAAATCACATTGCCATGACTTTAAAAGTGCCAGAACTGCCTCCATTGCTGACTTTCCTGACTCTGAGCTCCACTTTTGTACACCCAGAAGTTTTGTGCTTTCATCATCAAGAGTATATATTAAAACTGGCAATCCACCTGGTTGGTATCAACTCTTGTGATGTCAGTCATTTAATAAAAACTAACTTTATTTAAATTATCAAAAAGTATTTTTAAAAAAAGCTTATTGAAACGCATTCGTTATTGCCATTGTTTATAAAATTAAGAATACAAATTGTTTAAAAAAAATTACATTAATCAAAAAAAAATACATTTTGAAATAAATAAAAGTTTTATTTAATATTCTATGAGATTTATTTAAAAGCATTTAACTTAGTGTAAACAAATTTTATTATAAAGTTTACATAGCATGACAAAAAAATGTTTTCAACTATTAAATTTATGGGTTCATCAAAAAGTTTATTAAAACAATCATTTTCGTTGCTGTTTATAATATTAATTGTACAAATTGTTTTAAAAACATTTACATTCATCATAAAAAATAAACTTTTTAACAACATAATATCTTTTAATAATTTAAATAAATGTCTTTTATAGTATACAATCTTATAGTAACCTTAAACTTTATTTAGCACATTTTTAAAACGTTTTCAAAAATCTAAAAAGCCATGGTTAAGTAGTCACAAAAAAAAAAATCATGGTTAAGAATAGAGTGCTATTGCACACCTTTCCTGTCCAGGACTGCTGATGAGTCATTTAAACCTTAAATCCTTCATTGTATTGTAAATACATAATTTTTCCAAACAGACAACACATTCCTTCAGCATTTAATTCTTCTTATGCGTTGTCAGTAGTTAGGACAATAAGATCTAGCAAATCTTGATTAGTTTCTGTTTCTCTTATCAAAGTTCTTTGTACTAAACAGAAACACCTCTTCCAGTCAAAACATTACTAATTGTCAGGTGCAGTTTTTTTCTTACTTCAAGCTATTCATTGGTTGTTGGGAAATAGGTGCTTTTTGAGTCAAAAAGAAACCTTAATTTTCTCATTTGCTTCTTACTTAGTGTAAGGGAATGCATTAAAGCAATGGATTCATTTATTGTTTCAATATGATTTGCAAAAATAGCATTTCCAACATGAGCAATACTTTTGTTATTTTGTTTGTTTGCCTCCTGATTAAAGTTAAACAATAAAACCTCATAAAAAGGTAACCCAATAACATGCAACCCTGGGCACTCATTAGTAATAAAGTTGTTTATACAATTGAGAAGTTCCTGTGTCCCCTTGTTTTTTCTTAAAACCCAGTTCTGCAAAAGATTTTCATTGTTTTGAAAAACTCGGTTCTGTTATGTAAGCATCCTCTGCTTAATAAATGATATCTTTTGATTCTTGTGAAAGTATAAATGCATATCCACTTTTCTTGAAATGTTTTTCTTTTAGGCATTTATAACATTTCCATGGTTTTTCACACACATTTTCAAACTCCTGTGAATTAACTGATAGTTCAAAGTTTTTATAAATTATTTCTTTAATGGCTGAACATGTTACTTAGTTTGACTTAACAGTTTTTCCAGCTTAATAAATTGTGTAAATAAATCTATTTCTGTGATGTATTATGCATTTTTATTTTCCATTACATTTATTTTTTATTTTATTTTTTTTCTGCTAAAACAAATACAAAATCATATCAAATAAAATTAAAATTAACTGAAACTTAACTAAAATTAATCTACTTTAAGAAACAAAAAAAAAATACCTGATCATCTTTTTAAAATCATCTAAATAAAAAATAGTGCTAACTTGCCTCATTTCCCCTTAAAATATTTGGAAAGAAGAATTTTAAAATATTTTAAAAATGTATGACACAGTAAAAGCATAATCATGTATTTCTAGATTCTACTAATCAATTGCTAAATTAGGCTAAAAGATTGATCATGGAAGCATAGGACTGGTGCCAAAAACATTTCAGAGCTCGAAATATGCCTATGCAGTTTTGCCTGTATATTTTATTTTTAAAATATTCATAAATTCTGGTGTTGTTATGGGACCATAACAACCCTTTAGGAGGGACTGCATCTGCGAATTAATTTTTTTTTGGGAGACTCTAATTTAGTTGTTTAGTTTACTTATTTACATATTTAGTTTAGATGGCTCTAATAGCAAACAAATGGGGGCTTATATCAACGACACTTCTGTGCAATATCAAAACTGTAATATGAAAAAAGTTGTTGTGGATAACAAGCCTTGTCTTTGTTTATTTGCAATTAAAGATATAAAGTCTGGCACGGAGCTTAGATACAACTATGGTGATAAAGCAGATAACTTATGGTGGAGAACTGATGTATGCTAAATAAACTGTTCACGCACACAAACGCACACAGACACACACACAC